AGGAGGTTTTCCATTACTAGATTTTTTTTAAAAAAAGTAAATGATATATATTTACTATATAGCCTTAAATATACTAATGTGAGTGTGAGTTTCCAACGGGGGAAATACTATGTAATTTTTCCTTCTCTTACTTGGACTTTGAATTTGTTTATGTAAGACCATATTCCATAGAAGATACTTTGGAAAATATTGCTATAGAGCATCATCGTGATATCTCCTCTACTCAAAAATGGAATGATAAAGAGAGTACACTCCAGAGAGGCGCTGTGCAGTGTGGTAGCCACTAGCCAAGTGTGACTATTTAAGTTAAAATTAATCAACATTAAATGAAATTTAAAAATTCAGAGTCTCAGTCACACTAGTCACCTCACAAGTGTTCAGCAGCCACATGGGGTTAGTGGTTACCATACTGAACAGCAATGATCCAGAGTAAGACTGACTGGATTCAATTGTTTAGTAGCTATTTGACCTGGGACAAGTTACTAAACTACTCAAAATCTCTATTTTCTCATTTACAAACTGAGGAAAATTATAGAATCAACTCACAGAATTGTTGTGAGAATTAAATGAGCTAATACGTGGCAAGTGCTCAGAAGAGGAACTGGCATATAGTAATAATTCAGTCAATTTTAAGTAATATTATCCATTAGCATTATTACAATTGTTCTTCATCACCTACTTCTTAATCTGTTATTCAGATCTTTTTGATCTGTCCCCACTTGCCTTTTAGCCTTTCTTTCTGCTCTTTCCTAACATCCAGATTGGCTTCTAATCAACCTCACAAGTCCCAATATATATCCCATAGTTTGCAGGCTCTGCACCTTTGCTAAATTTCTCCTTTGCTGGAAACGCCCTCTCCAACTCCTATCAGTACCACGTCTAAATCCTATGTATTCTTTAAAGTCAAGATCAAATTCCACCTTCACCACAAAGCAAAAAATAAACTCTCATGCCCCTGACTCTCATGGCTTGCTCTACAAATCTGTTTTTTAGAAAATCCAATCTTCTTTAATAATTATGTATGTATATGTCTTATTTCTTCTAAATATATTTTCCTGTTGATCATGGTACATTTTAAACCCTGTGACGGTCATAAATAAACATGCCCTAATAAATGAATAAATCATATTTCAATATAAAGACTTTAATTTTTCACAGGTTAGCCCCTACCCCTACTAAGCGACATACTAAGCACCCTACTAGTGCTGTTTGCAACTATACCTTCTCTGATACTCAGTATTTTATATGGTCCATTGGTCACTGTTTCAGTATACATGTGAATGCTAAAGAGAAAATTAATTTTCCTAATGAGAAAAGAAATATTATAATACATTATTGGATAAGTGGAATATTAAAATCCAACAAAACCACAGGTGTTAATATAAATAGATGTTTTACTTGGGGAAATTATTTTAAAACCTTATTTTCAAATGATGATTTCTAGCTGCATATGTCCTGAAATAGAAACAAAATTAAGAGCACTATTCTTTTTTGATATAAATTATCACTGAAATTTTATCATTGGACATACTTTATACCTGCTTTGAATGCTGACTATCAAATGACAGAGGGAAAAGGACAAGAATGTAGCCATCCTGAATGAGCAGGGAATGTAATTTTATGAATGTATTATAAAACACTTTCTAAAATGTGTATGCAATAGTTAAAAGTGCTTTGGGGCATGAATAACTCAGCACTGTTTATAGGTACAATATTTACACTGGACAAGTCAAATGGTATATTCAATGTACCAGCAACTTTTCTTCTGTTGTTAGATGTAAGGAATAGGAATTTTCAGCCTCTTCTAGAATGCCTTCAACATTTGTCAATGGAAAAAAATTCTGTCTCCAAGAAGGTTTTAAAGATCTCTTGAAGGCAAAGCCCCAACTATAGCTCCACTGTGACAGTGACACATAGTAGGAGGTCAATCATCGATTACAAAAATGTTAATAAATAATGGTACCAATTTCTAAAGTGAATACATTTCCAATATTTACAGCAGCTTTCAGTTTTAATTTTTGTTATGAGAAAGCTTAACAATTCAAAACCATTTAGATATTTCATCAACATGTGTATTAAATTCAGTAGGGAAATGAGTAAATAAAATATATCCTAGACATGGTATTATCAAAAGAAAGGATAGAAGGAGGAGCATTTATCTGAGTTACTAAGGTGAATAATTTCCAAAGCAAGTTTATTTGGCAGGACCTTAATTGAACTATTAATCATTTACTCCTTAATGCCAAATAGTTTAATCAAAAAACATTGTCTTCTGTTGCATCAAAGCTAGTTGTTAGAAGTAAAACAACAGATATTTCTATGAGTTGGGTTAAAATATATACCAAGCCTTGCCCTAAACAAAATTGTAAAGTTAAATTGACACCTTTCAGAATTCCTAATTCTAGTGGTCCTCAGCCATTGGAAACACCAACATCATAGTGAGCACAATCAAAATCTGTGTTCAATTTTTTAAAAAAAAAGTCTCTAATCTTCCACTGATTATCTCTACTGGGTGAGCTTAATTCAAAAGACTTAGACAATAACCTTTGAAAATTGTGAATCACTATGTTGTACACCTGAAATTTATATAATACTGTACATCAACTTTGCCTCAATTAGAAAAAGAAGATTTAGACAAAATACATCTTTAGCTAGCATTAATTACAAGAGAAATAAAAGGAGAAAGAGACATGTAAATATTACACATATAAGAAATATTAATTTATCATTATTTTAATATAAAAAAGAACGTATGTTCAAATATTTGTGGTATTTTTTAAGCATAGAGAGAATAATATAAAACACCTGTTGATCTATCTCACTTCTTTTTCCATATTTGTCTCAAGTCATTTTAAAATCATCCTTGGATAACAATCTCTGATCCCATTCTAATCATTCTTTCTCTCCCCCAAAAATAGTATAAATTTTGTATTTATTATTCCAATACATGCTTCCATACTTTACTAATTATGTATATACACATGAAAATGTATATTTTATTTATTTTTAAATTTTATATGAATGTCCTTATACTTAAGATGTCCTTCTGCAAAACTCCTTTTTCTATCAATATTAATTTTGTAAGTATTTTTTGTTCATTGAAACTATGGTATTTGTGGATAAATGTATTGCACATTGCATGAACTCACCACAATTTATATTAATTGTTCTCTAGTTAATGAAAATTGAGGTGCCTTTCAATTTTCAACTATTACAAAGTGCTGCACTGATCAGTTTAAAACATAAAGCCTTGTTTATATTGGCAACATTTTGTCTATAGAAATAGAATTCCTGGCCAAAGAATATGTATGTCTTTAACTTTACCAGTATTTACGAATTGTTCTTCTAATGCTTGCACTAATAGGAGTTCCACTAAAAGTTTGTGACAACTTTGATTGCTTTATATTTTCAATAATAATTACTATTGTCATACATTTTAGATTTAACAAATGGATGGTTATAAATTATAATCGTAAGTTTTAATTTGCATTTTCCTGATTGCTAATGAGGTTAAAAATCATTTCATATGTTTGTGGGGGGAATATTTGGTTTTCCTCTATTGTATATCAATTATTAATATTATTTGCCTATTTGGTGATTGGGTTATTGACTTCTAAGATTAATTACATCTGCATACTAATTATTTATATTTTTTTCAAAACAACATATTCAATCTTCCATTTGTCTTTTCACTTTTTAATAGATTTTTAGTGCACAGTTTTTAATTGTATTTTTTTAATAATACGTCAACTTCCTTAAACACAATTAGTTCTGAGAACACTTATAAGACTGAGTATCTGACCCTCAGTACCTGAGAGCTTGTATCCAGAGATTGAACACTTCACAAGGCAAATGCAACCATATGCACTAAGGTGATGAAGAGCCAGGCTTCTTCAGACAACACATGACTCAGCCTCATCACGGGCATTCTTCCTATGCCTGCATGTTCTCTTCAACCCAGAATGGCTTTCACTCAACCAGCTGCAAACCAAGCCTGTCCGTCAAGATACAGTTTAAAGATAACTCTATTAAAAGAGCGTACCTCATTGTCAAATTCAAAATTAGCCATGTGACTCAGTATAGCCTTGACACTTTATGTATACATCAATCTCTCCATTTTACTTGTAACTTGCTTAAGTTAAGAACTATACCATATTCAACTTCTTTGGTCCTACAGAATCTTGAAGCATGACTTACAGATAACAGTGATTTCATAAATACATGTTGAATCAATGAGAAATATTCAAGGTCCTCTACTGAGCCTTGACTCATAACAGTGTTATAGAGTAACCTGAGATCAAGTTTTTTCTCTTCAAAACATGAAGTGTTCTCACCAGTCAAAAAGAAAAAAATGAACACACAATATGCAAAGATCACAAATAGGTAATTCATACATACACAAAAGCAATAAAAAGTCCTGTAACATATGAACCTTAATTAAATTGAATTAAATTAAATTAGTGAAGTACCATTTTTTACCAACACATTGACAAAGATTTTAAAGATACTTAATACCTTATGTTAGGGAAAGTGAGGGAAACAAGTACACATATGAGATGGCATTCAGATATACTTCTGGTAAGAATTTAACTGATGTGATGTTTTTGGAAGGAAATTTGGTCATATGTATGAAAAACCTTACAATATATACACCTAATAATTTTACTTCTTGGAATTTATATAGTAAAATAACCAGAGATGTGTGAAAAAGTATATGTTCATGGATATTTATCTGTATTCCCTTCTTTATTTTCTTTTAACATTGTAGTATGAACACTTTCTATTCCTATAAAGATCCCTCAAATATATTTTAATGGCTGTATAATAGTCCATTATATTGGTGTACTATAATTTATTTAGTATCATTTTAATATTAAACATTCAAGTTATTTTCACATTTTCATTATTATAAATAATGCTATAATAATAAATAATATTATAAATAATGCAACGAATATCATTCTCTGCATATTTCTTTACAATAAGGTCCACTTGGATAAAGGAGTAAGAATATTTAGGCAATTAATAAACATTGACGAATTGCTTTCTAATTACCTTTGACTGTTCCAGTCTAAACTCCTACCAGCAGCACATATGAAAACATCTCTGCGTGAGCTCCTTAGTGGTGAGTGTTAAAGTTTTAAATCATGTTTTGATTTAATAGATGAAAAAATGGTTCACTATTAATGCTATGTTTTTTATTCTTTTATTACATTTAAGGTTAAACTTTTTGTATATTTATTTCAAATTTTATAATTTGTCTTTTCTTTACTTTTAGTTATCCTTGTTTTGGTCCTTAGGGGTTTTCTTCATGATTTGTATTAACTTTATATATCAAGAATATTACCTTTTTGATGTACATGGGCTTTATAATTTTATGTGTTCAGATATACACTTTTCTCTTTTAGATACGTATTAATTATTATACATTTAGAAAATACTTATCTAGAGATTAAACAAATATTCATCTATGTAGATTTGTTAAATTGTTTACATTTATATTTTAGTTCACCTGGAATTTCCTTGGAGTATACTATCAGGTGGAAGTAGGGTCCCAAATAATTTCCTAATTTTTCCAATATCATTTGGTTAACAAAAACAACAACAAAAAGAAACCCTTCCATTCTATGTAAGATATGAGTCTTCCTCCATTCTGAATTAATTTCCTATACAAATTTAAGTCAGCTGCTGGATTATCTGTTTGGTTCTATTGTTTTGACTATCCTTAAACCATTTCAATACTGTTTTCATAATTTTGTCTTTGTTATCTATTTTGTAGTATCTGTTAAAGCAAATTCCCTGTCATTACACCTTAAAGATTGACCATACAAATGGACAAGGGCCAGATCATATATGACAAGAAAATTCTAATTGACAAACTCCTGAACTACCAGCCTGGGGAGGGAACCCACAACAGAGAACATCAAACCAGTCAGTCACTTAAGAGGGCCCTCTTCTAGCTAGCCCACCTCCAGCTTCCCGCTGCCAACAACCTCCAATCAGAGTATGCCTGAAGCCTTACCTTTCTTTGTAAAGTTTTCCCTCTCTCCTGCTTGCCTCTGGGTCCCTGCCAAACACAAGTGGTTGTGGCTGACTCCCTTTCTGTAGCAAGTGCTGAATAATTGCCTCTGTTCCCATTTGGGTTTCTTCATATATTTCTACACATCTCTTTTTCAAAGTTTCCATAGCATTAATACCTCTTAATTAATATCTTTTCATTCTCGGAGAATTACTTTTGAGCCTGCCCTTATTTTTCTTTTAAGAATGAATATTAACCTTAAACACCAAGGAATTCCCAGGTGCTGTTTTTAAGTATGAGACTATAATTTTTCCCCAAGGATCAATCTTTAAGTCAAGAAGCCACTTGGGCCTGAAAGACCTGTTTAGAGAGGTTATAATGAATGGTGTCTGAAGCTCTACCAGAGGCTTGTTGCTCTTGTATTTAGTACAAGTTATTGGACATGGAAGGAGCCTCTATTATAATAATGCTGTGCATTCCATTAAAATATATAAACTTGTAAGATTAAAGACAGATTTTCTAGTACAGCAAAATGCTGAGGGCCAAGAAAGACCCAACATGTATGGTAAGTTATATTACCAACTAAAACTTTTGGTAGTCTTCAGTGAAACCCTTGAAGAGTTGATCTTGCTGGAGGTCTGGAAGGATGTGGAATCTTCACAAACTGAGATATGTCAAAGACTTAGACTAAGACTAGATTCTGCTTCCTGGAATAGATATGACTGACCTGCCTTGGGAGCAAAGGTGGGGTAGGGAGAGACATATGAGGATGCTGTGGGATGGGGGCAATGAGGGAAGCTGAACTCCCTGTCCTCACATAAGCACAAAGAGGAAAAAGGACTCAGGTACCAAGGGTAAAAGGCATTCTAACCTAAGGCCCAGAAGATGAAGAACTAAGCTGAACATTAATCAGATTTTTTTTGTGATTTTTAAAAATTTAGCTGAAGTTAACTGTAAAAATAAACCTAGATGATCTGTATGATAGTTTTTAGAAGGCACCTTGAGCTAGCTTGCAGAATCCTTTTGTTTGTTTGTTTTCTGACTTTAATGCTTAGAATGAGTCATATATAGCTTAGAGTAAAAAGTGTGTGTAACACACTTTTGGAACATACAATAAGTCGAATCTTTTTTATTATTATTTATCAAGACAAACTATTATTAGATCAAATAAAAGTTATTGATTTCCTCTTTGACAAAGGTGTTATAAATCCTGAGATTGTACTAAATTGTATAGGTTACAGAGTACTTCTTTGAGGAAAATAACTGCATATTTGTTTCCTTTGCAAAGTCTAATTTTTAGAAAAAGTCACTTAGGCAGCAGGAAGCAATGCTAGAGACCACACAACTGAGCAAAATTATAGTAAATGTCAGATCCCACAGGGTTTAGGGAGGCAGGGGTGGCTGGAAGACACAGAGCAGAGTTCCACAGAGAGAAGAGAGCTATGCAGATCCCCAGTCATCTACATAGGGATCCCCCTGAGCATTAGCTGTAACAGGGCCTGCACAGAGTGAAACTCCCAGGGCTGGGCAAAAAAGTCAGGGGAGTTGTAAAGTGAACAATCCCCAGATGTCCTATCTCTGGCCACCCAGAATTGAGAGTCTTCATTTATTCTCCAGGACATTCAAACATTCATCAGAATCACCGTAATCGGGAAGAACAAATCTGACTCTGGTTTAAATGTTTCTTTTACTTTAACCTTTGTATTCCGTTTCTTTTACTTTAACCTTTGTATTCTGTTTCTTTTACTTTAACCTTTGTATTTTATTGCTTTTGCTTCCAGTTAAGAATTTTGCCTACAGCCTGAAATATACAGGATAACCCATTTTCAAGACTCTGACCTTTAAGGGTATAATACTTTTCCATTCATATAGAGATAAAAAGTTACAGAACAGAAGAATATTTGTCTTATTGGAGGTTTACAGGAACATCATTACCTGACGTAGGTGGACAGATGCAGAAACAGGGGATCCTACACCAAGAAGTTTGCAACGACCAACCACGCCCCTCCCTCACCTTCCCTTCAATAAAAATTTTTTTAAAAATTGCTTTGCTGAAACCTCTCGGAGAGTTTGGGTTTTTTGGAGCACGAGCCCCCATCTCCTTGCATGGCCCTGCAATTAACTTTTCTCTGCTCCAAACTCCAACGTTTCAGTATTGTTTGGCTTCTCTGTGCATCAGGCACACGAACTTATTTTCAGTAGCATCCCCAGAAGGACCAGGAACAGTTATTATATATGTATGTATATATTTACTTGTGTGTCTATATGTGTATGTGTGTGTGTGTGTATATATATATATATATATGAAGAGAGAAAGAGAGAAAGCAGTTACCTACTTTATAATATAACCTCCAAAAAAAAATTGTCTTCTCTAGATTGCTGAAATTCCCCCTGGATTGCTATTCTTACCACTGTTGTGTTTATAGATTTCTTCTTTCAAACAAAAACACTCCTGGGACATACTTTTAAACCATTAACACCTTGGGTTGGATGAGCTTTTTTTTTTTTTTTGCGTTACGCGGGCCTTTTACTGTTGTGGCCTCTCCCGTTGTGGAGCACAGGCTCCGGACGCGTAGGCTCAGCGGCCATGGCTCACGGGCCCAGCCGCTTCGCGGCATGTGGGATCTTCCCGACCGGGGCACGAACCTGTATCCCCTGCATCGTTAGGCGGACTCTCAACCACTGCGCCACCAGGGAAACCCGGATGAGCTCTTAAGATAACTAAAGAAGGACCCTCTTGAGAGGCTGGATAGAGCTCAGTATTTAACCCTGACAATCAGGAAGTATCAGTTCTGGCTCCAGGCTACCCCTCCAACCAAAGGCACAGTTTTAGCTCTGTAAGTGTGATTAGATTACACTTAGTACTAATGAAGAGACTAAGAATTGCAAAGTGCCACATAACCAATTTCCAGTTTCTAAAAGGAGTATTAGCAGCATGTAGTCATTAAGTTTTTATAATTGTTAAATTTGTTGAAAAGTGAATGAGCCAGATCATGACCATTTTTTATGTCTGCATGTCAGACTGATGAACTCTGAAAGAGAACTAACCATTTTCTTGATTTCCTCCTAATCAGTATATTTACTTTCTCATACTCTCTCAAGTATTTGAAGTATTTATTCTAATGGAAAAATTCTCTCAGACTAGAAATTGATAACAGTTATTTCTATAAGAAGATAAGATAGTAGTTATCCTGCAGCTAATCAAAATTAAAAGTGGTGGCCCCAGCATGGTATTTTTTTATCTGCTTTCTAAAAATTAACCCCAGGCTGCTTTTATCCTTAGGAAACCTGCAATACATGAGCCCACCATCACTCTCCCAGGGAACTTTTCCAGCAGAGTAAAGCAGCTCTAGCTGATTTTAACAGCTCTCGGGTATTCAGAAAGGACTGCTTTTCACAGGTTAGTCTGACTTCTGCCCTGACAGTAAGAAAATCAGACTAAATTTATGCCAAATTTTTAAAATAACTTTGATGAGAAACATTTCCTCCAACAGCAGTCTGGTTGTTAGTCTTTGGCCAATTTCCTCATAGATAAATATCAGCATAGTATTAAGAAAACTAAATTTGCAAGCAATTTAGTAATTTTTGCCCATTGACAATTCTACTCTATTTGGAAAATTATCCCTATATTATAGGACTGAGGATGCTATATTTATGGATGCTACAGATATTTCTTTGTTTTTGTTTTGCTTTTATGTTTCTTGAGCTGTAGAATCATCTGTTTGCCTCAGTATTGTGGAACAATGAGCTGATTCAACATAGGCCCAAATTAGAAGTATTACTATACAAAAGTTGCTGTTTCAACCTAAATGTCCATCGACAGAGGAATGGATAAAGAAGATGTGGTACATATATACAATGGAATATTATTCAGCCATTAAAAAGAATGAAATAATGCCATTTGCAGCAACATGGATGGACCTAGAGATTGTCATACTGAGTGAAGTAAGTCAGACAAAGAGAAAAATCATGTGATATCGCTTATATGTGGAATCCGAAAAGAAATGATATAAATGAACTTATTTACAAAACAAAAACATACTCACAGACTTAGAGAAAGAACTTATGGTTACCAGGGAGGAAAGGTGGGGGGAAGGGATAGTTAGGGAGTTTAGGATTGACATGTACACACTGCTATGTTTAAAATGGATAACCAACAAGGACATACTGTATAGCACAGGGAACCCTGCTCAATATTATGTAACAACCTAAAAGGGAAAAGAATTTGAAAAAAAATAGACACATGTATATGTATAACTGAATCATTTTGCTGTACACCTGAAACTGTCACAACATTGTTAGTCAGCTATACTCCAATATAAAATAAAAAGTTAAAAAAATTGCTGTTTCAGATTTGGACTAATTTAAAAGATATTGAGCAACAACTATGTGGCAAGTTCAGTTCTAAGTGCTTTTTCATACTATGCCTAGGTTTTGTTTTTGTTTTCTAACTACTCAAAGCTCCAGGTGGCAGGCTGTTTCTTTCACACAACACTCAATACAATCTAAAGTACAATAAAGCTTACATATAAACAAAGTTTCTGGATATTGCCATGGAATGTTTTACAGTGGAATTTTACCTGCCATTTAAAATATTTTGCATAAAATGTTCTTATACTAGAACGAACATGAGACAATGATTATGTATAATTCTCAATCACTCAGGCTCCAGGGTTCAGGTTGGTTTAGAGGAACAATAATTCTGTTCTCATGACAAACACTGTCCAAGTCTCAAGAAAATTCTCCTCCACATCACTTGATCTGTATCTTCAAGACAAAGGCAACTGAGTTCAAACACCATAAAAGTTTAAGGATTGTGCTACTGCTGACATAGGTATCAGAAATGAACTTGAATAGTGGGGAAAATTTGAGCGGTAGGACACTTAGGAAAGAGGAAAGACAAATTAGTTAACTTGTCAAATCCTTCCTCACAGAAAGTGTGAATGAAATGATTCTTGTGTAACTAATATTTCCAGTTAATGTCAAGTACCCATTTTCTTGCTTCTGTTGGGGTGGAATAAATTTTCTCTGCCCATGTAAGTTCTTTGGGCCGGTCTAAGAATTAAACTGACATGAGGCAGATTAACAGGAGAAAATCAAACAAAAGTTTTAAAACATATATACATGGGAGAGAACCAGGAAAACTAACTCACCAAAATGGCCTAAGCCCTCACCTTAAGTACCATCTTCAGCTAAAGGCAAAAGAGTATGTTGGGCATTTGGGTCATTTGGGACTTCAAAGGGGATGAAGGCAATTCACTTAGAGATGGAAAAGCACATGTTTGCTGGGCCCTGCAGAGACAATGGGACACAGTGGACTCAGATCTCTAGGCCCTGCTGAGTTTCCCCACCACCATATGCACAAAGAATAGCCAATACTTTGCAGGTATCAATGATGATAGTTCTATTCTGGGAACAGACACTCTAAATTACTTTAGGCAGTTAGACAAAAGTTCAAAGGTTCTTCCTGAGTTTATTGGACCTTGATTGTTTTCAAGGTACGCCAGAGACACATTTTGGGGTGGCAAATTTGATCCACTTACAGTTCTCATTTGTTCTAAAATGAGTTTCCAGAGGTATTCACAAATTAGGGCAATGAGTGCAACGCTTTCATATGGCATCTGGAGTATTTTTGCAAAATTAAACAGTATTACTGTTTTAAGTTGTATAAATGTAAGTCTAGAGGAACATGCATGAATGTAACACTGAAACTATCACAACATTGTTAGATGTTTTTATTTTTCAGACTAGATGGATACTGAATGCTGATGAGCCTTCCGATTATTCCACATCCTTGTCAACAATTAGTATTGTGAGTCTTTTTAATTTTAACCATTTGGATAATGGCTTCGTTTTATTGGTAAAGGGAGAGGTATAAAAGCAAAAATTTTCCCAAAAATTTAGAGGCATTTTTGTGCCATACATGGCAGCTTATAGGTGAAATCTATAATGGTACCATCTTAATGGTAGCTACAGCTCTGACATTCATCAGAGCAATTAAAAGATAACACAGTATTTTATGGATCTGCTCAAAGATGAAAAACCTTGAGTAAATATATATCAAATTTGACCTTACAACAACTTTCAGACATATGATAGGAATGTTGACTAAGTGCTGGTATAGGAATTAGAGTTCATTTAGACATAGTACAAGATGAACTGTAAGAGTTAAGTGAGATAACAGAAAATCTTCAGGGAACAAATTTTCACATAAAACAATATTAAGTTTGAATTTGCAATATCCAGAGTTATTTGATATGATCTTTTGTGCCCTATTAATGGTAGCAAAACCTATTAAAATCCAAACAGATCCAAATTCAGCAATTTCTCTTTTAAAAATAAATATATACTTTTTTAAGTTAGAGAAAGTGTTTTTAAAATCAAAAGAAATTTTACATGGAATATGCAAAAGTGATAGTTAAATATAAGAACAATGTTATGAGAATATACTAGAACAATAAAACAAATGTATTTTGCATGACCATGAAGGAGAAAATGTACATAAAAATTATCTTGAAACTAATTTCTACAGGGAATATGTTTCTAGCATTATGGATCAAGGTAAGTACAGTCTTTAACTGAAGAGAGGTTTTAGCAAATTGAGCAACACTTAAGTTGTTTGCCAAATCCAGTTTCCCATTCAGGTTAAAAAACAACCATGGTTCAAGTGGAAACAAACCATAGGCTGGCCATTGACTGATGACTTGAGGGTTATTCCTCAAAAAGAAAAAAAAAAATGGGGTGAATGAATCCATTCTCTCTCTTTTGGTTTATTAAAAATGTTACTTGAAAATCATAAAGAGAAACCACAGATGGGAAAGCCCCGGTGCTCAGAGATGATAAAGAAGGAACTTATGCAAGTGAAGAAATCCAAATAAGGTAGTGAGAGAGGAGGAAGGAACAGACTCACAGAAGTAGAGATGAAAGAGGTAGCCTCATGGGGGAAGGTGGATGGGGAGCCTAGAGGTTCGAAGGTGCTCCAGCTCCCTGTCCCAGAAAGATGCAGGTGAACTTCTATGAGAATTCGAAGAGATTCCCCTGTAAAGAAACCTTGGTCCCACAATACTCAGCTCTGTAGCAATTTCCTTCTTGTAATTTTAGTTTACATTTCTATCTCTCTACCAGACAGCTCACAGCTCTGAGAGCAGAATTTGAATCTGATTTTCATTCATATTCTCAATGCCTAGCACATATTAAACACTCAAAATTGTTTAATAAATCAACAAAAACAGATTCAATTTAAAAATTACACCCCTTAGTTCTCCCACCCTTTCAACTTCACCAATGAAAGTAGAAGAACAGAATTAATAACATCACAAGTTCAATCATGCAGAAGGGAACAGAGGGAAAAAGAGTTGGGGGAGAATTGAATAGAAGGAAAAGATTTTAACAGTAGTAGCTTAAGGTAATAATTCTCAAACCTTAGTGTGCATCAGAATCACTTGGAGGGCTTGTTAATATTGATTACTGGACTGCATCCCCAAGTTCTGAATCAGTAGATCAGAGGCAGGGCCAAGAATGTTCAACTAGTTCTCAGATCCCGCTGATGCTTCTGGCCAAGGACCTTATGTAGAAGAGCACAGCCTTAAGAGAGTGGAAGGTAGGGAAAAGATTGAGGAAGAAATAGAGGACACCAGGAGAATTATAATTAGCCTCATAGATTAAGAGGCATTAAGTTATAATTCTCTGTCAGAAAAATTGATTAAAAGGCTGTAATTGGTAACTTAGAATTGATTGGTAAAGTTTAATTGGTATTACTGTTTTAAGCAAGTAGAGTTAAGATGACTATAAGTGAGTTTGTCTGGGAGAGTCTTGATTTTCTCCTATCACTCAGCATTATAATTAAAAGTGCTCCCTTTCTCTCTCAGGAGTGCTTCCTTTGGGACAATAAATTATATAGCCATGTTTCTTACTTATAAGAATGAAATACAAAATGTATGCAAACTGTGAGGGGTACTGCTTCCCAGTCTATCTGGACAAGAGAATGAATGAGTGGGTGAAAAGGAAAAACAAAGATCTTTATCTATTTAATGACCTTTCCAAAGGGTCTTTTAAAAAATACTGAGTGGCAGACACTTCCCAAGACAGACACAGTACTCTGAAAACCAGGCAAAGAAATAAGTGCCAGACCAGGAATCAGGATGATTAATGACCAGGTTTTTCTTAGCCCAGAAGAAAGGTACGCCTTTTGATGGCTAGACCTTTTCAGGATACACTTAAACGGTGGGGAAAAAATAATACCCAGGTGTTCTGACTCCGGACAGCTGAGAGAAAGTCCAGGAAGAAATTTGTTTTTTCCTCAGATATCCCAGGGAATTCAAATGTCGTCCTGTTCATTGACCATACTTTGAAAAACATTTTAGTAAACATGAACAAGGTCTGATGTGTTTCTCTTCCTAGTAGCAAAGACATTTTAAAATCTTAATCCAAATGAATAAATTTATAAGAAGAAATCCAGAACTCAGCTGAGTATACACAGATGCCATTCTTCTCCACCTACTGAAGCCCTCAGTAGTTGCAAGATCTCAATTCCATTCTTCCAATAGTAAAACATTTCCTGTATTGAGTATTGCAAGCTGCGAGGAAGAAAGTCATCACGGGAGTAGGCCTTGGAATTAAAGTGTGTTAACTACCCCCTTCATGAAAGTAAAAGTTCCCTAGTACTACCAGCAGATCATGGTGGAAGAACTTGTGAATTACTTCCATAACCCACCCCCCACACACAAGTCCGAGGACATGAGGCATTGTCAATGGGGTGGGGAAATCCCCTAGAGTTGTCACAGGAAATGTGATAGCACCATATAATCTGAAGGCACCTTAACTGCCATAACTTG